TTTTGAAAGAAAAAATATCCCACCTAATTTTAGAATTGAGATCTCCAAAAATAGGGTGAGATGTAATTTCCACTTCATCAAATCGGCCATGGTGGGTAATATAAATTTTTGTGGACGTGGGATCTAAGCAACGAAAACCTTTACATGAGGGACTATATTCCAAAAAAATACAAGGAATGCTACGGGGGAAAATTTATGGGGAGCATAGTCACGTAAGCAAGGAAAGACCCGACAACCATAGGGATAAAAATTTATGTAATGAGGAGCCTTACCATGTAAGAGTTCAAAAGGAGAAATACCTCCGAAAAGCGGTGTAGGCAACCGGTTAATGATGTATGTCGCAGTACTGAAAGCATCAACCCAATAAGAGGTGGGGACGCGCGAATGAAATATAAGAGCAAGACCTATGTCAGTTACGTGACGGTGCTTACGCTCAACATGACCATTTTGAGACGATGTGTAGGGGCATGACATTTGGTGATGGATCCCAATGGAGCGAAGATGAGACTGAAAACGTAGACTACGAAATTTAGCGCCACCGTCACTCTGAAAAATTTTAATTTTACAAGAGAATTGATTTTCCACAAATTTTTGAAATTGAAGAAAGATTTTAAAAAAGACTTCAACTTCATAGGATAAAGCCAAGTAAAACGAGAATGATCATCAATAAAAACAACATAATAAGATAAGCCCATTATCGATTTTACGGGGGCGGGACCCCAGATACCATAGTGAATAAGGCCTAAAATAACATTAGAGTGAGTATCATTTGTGGAAAAAGGGAGCTTGTGGCTCTTTGCAAGTTGACACTTAGAACAAAGAGAAGGATTATGTAATATAAATGTAAGTTAAAGCTGGCCTTTTTTATTCAATAAAATAGTAGAAGGGTTTACATGCTCAAGACGTGCATGCCATAAGTCATACGACGCCTAAGGGCAGATTTATTTAAAACAGAAATAAAGCAAAATTGCTACACTCCAGTACGTAGAGACCTCCATCACGTTTTCCGATTGCCACCAACTTTCTTCTTGTTCGATTCTGAATAACAAAAGAAGATTTAGTGAAGATAACTTGAAAGGGAAAATCAAAAGTTAACTTGCTAATGGATAAAAGATTTTTGGTGAGATTAGGAACAACTACCACATCAAACAAAGCCAAACCGGGAAAGGGATAAGAGGTGCCAATGCGGGTTATGGGTAAAGATGCCCCATTGCCCACATCAACACTGTCCTTACCAACATATTGCTCAGAGGAGTCCAGGGATGTCGAGTCTGGTGTCATGTAAGCCAAGGCACTAGTGTCAAGGTACCAGTCAGAGAAGGGACCATCAGTCAATGAGCAAGAACTTCAGAAGGCCTCAGCAAGTTGTGCCGAAGGGTCCGAGCGATCATATTGGTTCCTGCACTTATCAGATGTATGACCATCGGTTTTGCAGATTTGGCATCTCGGGTTGTAGAGACGATGGTTGCGACCAGAGCCATTTGAGTGGCTAATTGTGTTGCCAGAGGAGGAACCACCCGAGTTTCCATGGGAACCACCGCGAGAGCGATGATTGCGAGACTAATTTCCACGCCCATTTGAGAAGCGAGTGGCTGCAGAAGATAAAGAGTGAGATTCCAAAGACTTTTGAAAGAGATCATAACTCTCAGCCAACAGAACCAGATCATGGAAAGGGGGCAGTGAGGAGAGTACTAGCTGCGTGGAGGATAAACCGGCAAAGTCGGTGCCAAGTCCACGAAGGAACCAGTGCGATTTTTCGATTTCGTCCACGAGACGTCCAATAGCCAGCAACTGATCACAGAGAGATTTGAAATCTCGAGAAAACTCAGCAACGGATCGAGCTCCTTTCTTCATCAGTTTTGCAACTCGTCTTTAAGGCGTATTTCTCAAGTTTTTGAGCCGTGACCGAAGACACTTAAGAGCAAGCCAAACATCACGCGAGGTAGTGAGACCAACTGCAACGGTCATAGCTTCTTCAGAAAGGGAAGAAAGAAGAAGGCTTAGGATTCTCTGGTCTTTGGCTTTCCATTCCAGGTATTTGGGGTTTACGGTAGAAGAACCTTCAATGGTTGCAGCAGGCTTCTGCAAAGAGCCATCGACAAAACTAGGACAATCTTAGCAGTCAAGGAGAGGGACAAGCTGGTTCTTCCAAAGCAGGTAATTTGTGGCCGAAAGTTTAATGGTGACCATGTGCACCATGGTATTAAAGAGAGAGGTTCGGCAACCATGAAGGGAAAGAACAGACCGAAAAAAATTTGGATGTTAATCCAGTGATGTCTCTAATACCATGAGAGTATTTTGTGAAATCACCACACCTCTTGAGGTGGAGATGTATTTTCATTTATAGAGAAATACATACACGTATAGCTTTACATCAGAAAAGGAAACAAAACAGAAAAGGAAGTAAATCATACAATGAATTACAATTATGAGGCAACTACTATAAATATGCAGAGGATTGCTGAATATCTGGAAAGGATTCTGGAGTATCCTCAACAAACCGGCCTCCCGTCTTAATGCATTTCCTATAGAGTGGGAGGTAGGCTATTGTCACCCTCAGAGGGCCCGGAAGATCCCTTAAGCAGATGGGAGATTCACCCCATTTTACAATCTGCTCGAGGTTCAAGGCATGTACTTCCCCTTGTCTCAGTCCATCCAAAAAAGCCGCATCTAACCATTCGCTTAAAGAAAAGCCTTGAGGTTAGGAGCAACAGCGTCTTCAACAGATCTAGCAATGCTGTCAGCAACTGCGTAGTAGCGGTAGGATCACCTAAAAAGTCGGAACGCAGGAGAAATACCACTCCATCAAGAGATCCGCCACTCCGTTCACTAGTAGCCTCGAGAATTTCAATGCTGATTGCAGAAAGAACATGCTGTGGAACATGCGGGAGAAGATATTCTGCAATATCTACTTGACTGCTGGAGGTGGCAGCCATAAGGGCAAGACATATTTCCATATCCAGGCAATCCCTTTGAACGAACCATTCAACAACTGGCACGCAACCCCTCTCAACAGCTATCATCATAGGCCCCAAGACAGCCGTGGCATTTCCCTCTTCCACTAGACATTCCATAGTGCCAATTTTACCATAGTGGGAAGCAAAGCCCAAGGTTAGGTCAACATCAACATCCAAGCTGTTTCTTTGAGTAATCTAAGCCCCCAAAGTATGACAAACAAATGAACCGCGAGTCAGGCCAATTAAGTAGAGCAAATATCAGTATTGAAAATAGAGGTGTCAATTCGGGTGGTCCGGGCCGGGTCGGCCCGCCAACATGTGAGCCCGGTAACGGCCCGCGTGAAAAAAAGCCCGCCCGCTACGGGTTCCGGGCCGGTTACGGGTCGGCCCACAATTTTGGACTACAACCCAGGCCCGCCCGCTGACCCATCCGGGTCGAGCCCATGCGGGTCACGGGTCGCGCGGG